CACATGAATCTCCCGCCCCGGACACACAAGCACGCGGTTTGATTGGCTAGAGCTTGTACTGGCATATGATTTGATTGGCTGACGCTTCCGTCGAAGCTTCAAAAGTTGAACATGCAGTTCGGCAAAGCATGACGTCACCCCATTCAAAGTGAATGGGCAGAAGCGTTGAAGCTTCAACGCACGCCGCCGTGTGGACGGGCCGTTAGGGTGCTCTGATCTCCACTGATGGTTATTGGCCAACATCCATTCTAAATGGTGTTGTCCCTGACCCAGACATCACCGTGTTGGAAACCTGTCAATCACAATGTTGCCAGGGTCCAAAGCATACATTGTTTTATAGTCTATATTACTCTAAATCAGACCATTATTTAAGAAATGAAGACTTGAAACTTGGATTGAGACCAAAACAAAAAAACGAATCTGAAAAATATGAGAAAAAGGGGAATATATACAATCAGACTTCTTTTTGAAACCGGTGAATTCATATACAGCTAAATATATGATATCATTTAGGTTGAAGGCATTCCCGCATTGGTTTAATTTTTCGGAGTTGAAGGTTGTCTCTTTGGGAAGATCCACATAGAAACACACACACTTGTATACACACACAAACTAGAGCATGGGATCAAAATCACTTCTTGACCGACACAGAGAATCGCTTCAAAAGTCACAAGACTATCCTTACTGATTGTTTTGTTGTTGATTTGCCATAATTAAATCCTCTTTTTCCATCTCCAGCACCGGACTAGATGACACCGACCACCACCCGGAGCGCAGGATGAAAGCAGCGTTTGCCGCCTATGAGGAGGCCAACATGCCCCGCCTAAAACAGGAGAACCCCAACATGAGGCTGTCGCAGCTGAAGCAACAGCTAAAGAAGGAGTGGATGAAATCACCAGAAAACCCCCTGAACCAACGCTTTGCCAACTACAACACAAAGTGAATGCACTCCCCTTCCAATAGCCCCTTTGAAAACTGTCTGCCTAATGCTCATAGGAGAGACTGCCATTGAAAAGATCTAATAATTCATTCTAATCATTTCATTTAAAAATGTGTGTCGCTGATGAGAGCTTCACCGTTTTCCACCAAGAAACAACTTTCCAATGCCAGGTGACTCGGCTTGGTTTGTTTAATTCACAATGAGTCTAATGTGTCACTTCAGCATCCATTTCATTTAATTACATACTTTTTTTTTTAGCACTTCTTGGGAGGTGGGAAGCCAGATGATTTGAAAGTAACTTATTAAAGTTCAACACTCGATGGAAAATATCTCTTGTCGCTTTTCAATGCAAGACTTCTCCTTATTTGTTGTAAGTAGGCGCACTTACCGAGGCACACACTGATGTCAAAAATGTGCTCCATCTGCTGCTGTTGTGCATTCAGCGTTACACTTTACCAACTACATAAGGAGAAAGTTGACTATAATTGTGTGTCCAGGGTAGTGCTCACCATTCACCAGCTAAATTGGGGGCTTCAAAATAGATATGGCTGCAAATGACTTTTTTCTGTGCTTTTAGTTAAATTAGCAAGTGAATAAACAGTTTCTTTAAAGGAGTTGTTTTTTTGGGTAAATACTAAAACATTTTAACATTGAACATTGAAGTGACTGTCACAAGTGGATTATGAGTCATTACGAACGAGTCTGAACAAATACACATACAATAACAAGATACCTGCAATGTGTTGACACTTTGAGGCATACAACAACAATGGCCAACGCTGTCACATTTAAGAAGAAATGGCTGGATAGTCAAGTTAGTTACAAGTGCTTTTGTCTCATTACCCCTCATGCTCATGTATACTCTTTAAGTGCAAATGGCATGTTTTCACACAAGTAGAAATTGTTCACTGGCTAGCCTCGTCAAAGCCTGGTATGATCTTTATCCTGTTAATATCAAATATATGGCACTGTTAAGTAAAAAAAAATCATATTTCTTACCCATTTTCATGCCCCTGACAGTGGCTGAATTTGGCCCCCCTTATCTCCAATAGCGGACCCTTTTACCTTTAGCCAGCAGTGACTTTAAGTATCACATTATTGTAATTTGATGGTGACTGCTGAAAAAACACAGCTAACAAAACCAACAACTTAAATCAAGTTAACTGCAACAACACAATTATAATTAGGGAAATACTTCCTGTTTATCCCTAACATGTCCAGCATTATTCATTTAGGATTTCTATTTGACAGCTATCAAAGTGATTATTGCATTTGATTGAGTTCAGCATGCAGTAACATGGAGGGTCCCGTGCTGCTGGTGGTCACAAAGGTTTTCTCCAGCACAGCAACATTCTCACACTGAGCTGCTGAGGCAGCAAGCTGTAGGCTTTGTAGGTTTGTGTGGTGCCAGGTGGAGAGGCAGGAAGCAGCAAAGATTGAGCTTTATCAGTATCAAATGTAAGTAACAAAGGTAAAGCAAGATAGCAGTGCAGATGTTTGAGCTGCATTGTGTATCAGATACACAATGAGGCTCAAACATCTGCACTGCTATCTTGGGAAATGGGAGTTAACAGAATCCTTGAGTCAACCTCACTATATGTCTCTCTCCACAAGCCTGAAAATAAAGGGGTAAAATACAGATAAAGTGTAGTCATTTACAGATTAAACATAACATTTTTGGAAATGCAGAAATATACTTTTTATTTTTCGGGCCAATAATCAACATGCATAACGTTTTTATATTTTAAATTGCTTGTACTTTACTTTGAAAGGATTCAGATGTGTTTAATGTTTTATATCTAAATAGCAAAAGAAAAAACAATACGTACTTGGTGGAGAAACAACACCACTCCTGCTTACTTAATCAAGATTTTAAACAACATTGGTCTTTCATTAATATTCAATTTGTATTCAAAATACTTTATTGGTCCCTCAAGGGGCACTCCAAAGCAAGTGTGCTAACAACAATCCAAAGACAATTCATGTACATCAGGAAGAAAATATATTAGTATGATGAATGTGTTAAAAAGAAATATAGGTCTAATATACAAGTGCATGCAAAACTGAATGTGATACAATTGATCAGAAATAATAAAAGAAAATAAGATTAACAACAAGAATATTGTAATGTTGACAAAGAGATTAAGAAGAGTGATGTAAACCAGCAAAAACATGTAAAATAGTTTTGATACAAGAAGATTGAAAAATCAACATTCTCTGGTGCATTTAGTTCAGTTTACATGCCAGTTAGAATGCTGCTTAGCATTTTTAACATCTCATCTGTATTTCTACTTAATCCAAATCTGTAATCACAGCCTTCTTGTCCAAGTATATGTAGGTATGGACAATTTCAACAACTGTGCTATTAATTACAGTTTGAAGTATGTTTTTGTGACTTTTTGATTCCCTTAGTTTAACAAATAAAGAAAATCTGTCACACATTCAGTGTTCTGACTGACGATAAGAGACACAACACTTTCCTCAGAACGTTTCACAATATGTTGATTCTTATATTTACTAAGACAGGATAACCTAAAATGAAGCAGAAAGGACTCAACCCTGCAGTAATATATTTATTCAAAAGGTGATTAGAAAAAGTTGTTCATGTTGTTTCATTTGTAAGGACACATCTGAGGAGACTTTGCACTCATTCAGAACCAGATCTAAAAAAAGGCCACTTTTGTTCGGCCTGGCTGTTGTGGCGGAGGAGATAAGAGCTCGTCGTGCAAAGGCCTTTGAACCAAAGAGCTTCAATGACAAGTTCAACTGACCTTTTATTTCCCTTTTTGCATTGAAAGAGAAGCAGCTCTGTTTCTTTTCCCATAGCAACCAATTGGTCCACTCCCATTTTAAAGGGATTTCTTTGAGCCTGTACGTGTGATGTTCCGCCGTTACACTCTGGTCTGATGTTCCAGGTTTTTGTTTTTCTGCATCCTAACCTATTGATGCTCCCTCCCACTCTAGGCCATTTGCATGGCAACCCTTTACCAGGCCAGCTGCTGCTGCCCTTTTCTTTCTTCATGTTGAATTCTAATCATTACTTTCAAAGGAAAGCGTCTCCAAAGCCCCTTTATCAAGTGTTCGCACTGGGAGGACGCAAGCCGCTGTCTAGCGCTCACTCTCGCTGCTCTTCTTCTCAACGCTGTTGTCTAATCCGGGAGCATCTCCAGTTAGTGACCGGCTTTTTCAAGACTTGAGAAATATAACAATTGGAAAAAGGAGGTAAGGATCAACAGAACAGAAGTGGGGATTTGTTCATATGTCATTTTAATTCATATTTATATATTAAAAGGAACATTCTTTAAAAAATGATTGTTTAAATTGGAGTTAAAGGGTTACAGTCTTAATTAAGACAACTTTGAAGAAAATGTTGGAATAATTAAGTTCACTCATAATAAAAGGTTTTAGAACTCATCGAAAATGATACCTTTGTAAAGCACACCATTTTCATGCTTTTATCTTAATTACATTTTCTCAAGTTTAAAAAACAGTGACCATCAATTTTATTTGCAGGATTACAATGTACTAATCCTTTTTATTTTGAGCTTTAGGAGTTAAACATTTATGTCGCATCAGGGTGACATTTCTTATCATAATAAATGGATCAACAGCACTTCTCTCAAAAGGATTGTGGGTTTCAGTTGTTCAATAAAGATCAATGACTGTTACAGTAAAATAACCAACTAGTAGATAAGACTACAATTCTAAATCTTGAATTTATTTCCTCCAATAATAGTTCAATATGAGAAAAAGTATTATTTTCTGAGCTTTTCTGTGTGAAGTAGACAAACATGAGAGGGGGTCACATCTGTAACCAGCTGAACACACACTTTGAGATTTAACAAATTGTTGCTTTTTTAACACAGATGATTTTTAAAAGTGAAATAATGCAACAGACTATAAGAAGAAAAAAAAAATTTACTTTTTTTTTTTTTTGCCTTATGTATTAATATATTTTTTTTTTTCTAGTTCCTCAGAGTAACATTTGTGCCCACTTTTGCATGTTTCTGCTTGCATCCTTCAAGGATCCTGTGGATTTTGAGCTAATTTATGGGTTATGTTGGTGGCTATATAAGGGAAAAGAAAACAATAATTGGTGGATACTATCCCTTTACTACTTTTTCTTTACAATTACATGTGAAAAACGTTTTGTGATGTTATTTTAGCTCTGCAGTGATGCCATGAGGTTGATTTTGGTCAAACCCACCAACGCAACTCGACGCCTTGACTCAACGGCTGAAGTTTTCCATGATGGGGACCACGAGCATTGTACCTCAGGGGGTCCAGCTCCTCCGACAAAAACTCCTGACGGGATGCGTGATCGATACTCAGGCACCTCTGGGGAAGCATCCTCTTCACTGCAGGAGACGTGTCCCGAAAGATCTAACGGGATCAGTCCATCAAGAGATTCAGCACAAAACCTAACCTTATCACAGCTGAGCGATCAGGACTGGCTGCTGCTTTGTGGCCAGGTTAGCAGCGTAGGAGATGATTCAGCCTTAGCGGGGAGAGCAGGGACCAGTGTGGAACATCCAAACCATGACAGGTGTGGTTGTTCCTGTACAGATTCTAGCCAACATCCAGAGGCTTTTAGTTTTCATCCGCAATCAAAGCAGGGCACAGTCCAGGATGATAGCCTCATGAAAGTTTCAAACAAGAGAAGCCTTTCATCTTCACCTTACACCCTGCCTTTCTATCAAAGCACCCAAGCTTCGACCACTTGCCAGGTGTTGCCACAGCAAACAAACCAAAGGGATCTTTTAAAACCTGACACAAACCATACACAGGATAACTTCCTCCCCCTCCAGTTCAGAGACCAAGAAGGTCGAAATGAGCAGTTGCAGCAACAGCCTTGCAATCATTTTAAACTTAGAGAAACCAACCAAGCAACTTTATTCAACATTCCTCTGAACTCCATTGAATGTGCCGAGACAAATCAGAAGCCTGCTGTCCCCGCAGACCTCAACTGGAGAGAGCTTTTCGGCAAAGAGCCTCTGTTAGTCCAGCAACGTCAAAAGCGAGACTCTCGCTGCTCGATGAATACTGATCAGACTAGCAAGACACATGGAGACCCCTCCATCGTCCGCAAGTGCCGTCATCTCCCCTGCAACCCTTTAACCAGCACTGTGCAGAGGTCGTCTACTCCAGCTAGTAACAAAAGTGTGCAGTCCTTCACCACCAGCCAGTACAGCTCACTTGAGAACCAGGATGGAGTGGCAGAAAGAGCCAGACAGCGACAAAGTCAGGTACACAAAATTATCTCTAAATTATGTCAGTTATGGACCGTTTGTAGGAGGTTAATATCCAACCAATTACATAATGAGTATGGAAGGTTTCTTTTTCAAATGGGCGCGATAACTTCCTACATCTTTAAAAAATACACATATTACCCATCTGTAATTAAAAGGTATGCAGCAACAACAAAACAAAAGATTTTAGACAAAATGCTATTAACAAGATAGTTATTGCATTGATTTTTACATTTACATCAAGATTTTCTACCAAAACTAGAATCTTTGAATGGCAAGTCCAATTCCTGATTGTAGAAGTCAAAATATTTGTTTATGTTGCTCAGAATAGTAGGGTTTCTGAAAGATTACAATGCAAGTGATGAGTCTTTCTTATTTTTGCAGACAAACTCTCTGCAGCTCAGTGGATCGAGGTTCTCCCTCCCCAAACACACTCCTCCACCAACTCATGACATCGGGATCAACGGGAACGCAGTGCGACCGCTAAGCAGCCATGGCACTTTAAGATCCAGCCTTTCAGATCTCCACTCAGGCCAGCAGCCTCTCCAGCTCCTCCACAGTGCCATCCTGGAGGACGCTTTTTCCAAAGTAATCAGAGAAGATTCCAGTAAGGCCAACAGTGAGAACCTGAGCAGGGAGGAAGGCAGCGTTCCACGGAAGAAGACCAAGGACATTAGCTACCGGCTGGGTCAGAGAAAAGTTCTCTTTGGGAAGCGCAAGCAGCTGAGCGACTACGCGTTGGTCTGTGGGATGTTTGGCATTATTGTCATGGTGATCGAGATTGAGCTGTCAAGGGAATTGTACACCAAGGTACTTGAGTCCTCCATAAACCCACTTTATTTTTAAATATAACAGATGAACAAAGACGTGTAATGTAGAGCAGAAAAGTTTCACATGTTTCTTTGATGTACCTGACCAGAGGCTAAACCATAGACTGTATATATAGGGCTAAACAAACGGCTGCCCTAGTGCCACAATAGCAACTGAGTCGCAACATTGAAAGCCCTATGAGCAACTTTATTTCAATAAAAAAGAACCCTAGCTTTGAAAAAATCCATTGATTTGAGGGCAAAAATCCCCTATCTTTATTTGTTTTCATTATTTAATTATCTGTTTAAATTACTGGTTCATGTGCCTTTGCACCGTTAATTCCCTTGTTTGGGATAATAACGTTTTCCTTGACTTTTTATTTTGGTTCGTAAGTCCCTCATCAAAATGTAATGCAATGACCATTTATGTCTCCATTATTTACACAGGAATCCATATATTCATATGTCCTGAAAGGTCTGATCAGCCTCTCTACTGCCATTCTTCTTGGACTCATTGGGATGTACCATGCAAGGGAAATCCAGGTATGTGGAAGAATTCAAATAAATCAGTGCATACCTGTGTGTATCTTGGTTTACCCTTATTATTACCCAGGTGAACACTGACTTATTTTTGAAATATTTAAAAATAATTCAAATCTTCTGGCCAAACAAATATTCATCATAATTTTTCTCTGCTTTCGAAGTTAGATCATGTCTTTTAATATGCAATATTAATTATGTTTCCCTACAATCTTCTCCATGCAGCTCTTCATGGTGGACAACGGAGCCGACGATTGGAGGATAGCAATGACCTTTGAGCGGATTCTCTTTGTAGCATTCGAGCTCCTTATCTGTGCCATCCATCCGATCCCAGGTCAGTATGTGTTCACCTGGACTGCTCGCCTGGCTTTCAGCTACACAGCATCAGTGGCGGACGCTGACATCGACATCATCCTCTCCGTGCCGATGTTCCTGCGGCTCTACCTCATCGGCCGGGTCATGCTGCTCCACAGCAAGCTGTTCACCGACGCTTCGTCCCGCAGCATCGGGGCGCTCAACAAGATCAGCTTTGACACTCGTTTTGTCATGAAGACTCTGATGACCATCTGCCCCGGCACAGTCCTGCTGGTCTTCAGTGTATCCTGTTGGATCATCGCAGCGTGGACCGTGCGTGTGTGTGAGAGGTACAGCAGCTTTAAACTCCTGAACGTCTCAGTCTTCCTTTTCTTTCTTTAGTAACAGTGGTGGAGGGTAACTAAGTAAGTACTAACACTTAGGGATTGCACTTAGTTATTTCCATTTTCTGCTGTAGGCCTTACTCCACCAATCTCAGAGGCAACTATTGTACCTCTACTCTTATACATTAACTTTAGGCCCTAGTCATTTGCCAATTCAGTTTAATAACACAACATATGATTCATAATTTAATTATTTCAATAGGCATTTATTGACCCAGCTGAAGGAATTTCACAAGCTCCCCATGAATATATCAATATAATGAATAAATACATTATTTTGCGTTAAGTAGCCTACATGTTGATACTAATATTTTTGTTTTAGTAACTTTTTTAATGACTTTGGTTGTATTCCTGTTTTAACCATAGGTACAAATATCCGAGTACCGCTTTCACCTTCAAATGAGATGTAATTTTGAGTAATCAAAATTAGTGTTAGTCTGCTTTTTAATCTTCGTTAAGAAGAATAACTGAGCAACAAATCTCTCAGACCTTTCAGATTTACATCCAGGTGTCATGCCTCCACAGGTATCACGATGCTCAAGAGGTGACCAGTACATTTCTCGGAGCAATGTGGCTGGTCTCCATCACCTTCCTGTCCATCGGGTACGGTGACATGGTCCCTCACACCTACTGTGGGAAGGGAGTTTGCCTGCTGACAGGAATCATGGTGAGATAGGTACAATACAACTGGGCATGTAGTGAAGAGTAATCCCAAACAATCTGTGTGCTTCAATTATCAAGTTAATGTAATACATTTTAATAACTTAAGGGGTAAAAAACAAATTCAAATGACATGAAGCACGAATCATAGGAAAAATACACAAATACGTTTAACTGTTTTATATTTACATAACAAAATCCATAATTTCTGCTTACTGAAGCTTGAATCTTGTTTGGTTTCATAACAATGTTGCTTGAATACCAGTATAAAGAAATGACTCTATTAATAGTGAAAATATAATTGGTGGTAATGTAACAATACAGTGTCACTAACCACTGCTCTTCTCCACAGGGAGCCGGCTGCACAGCTTTAGTGGTCGCTGTTGTTGCAAGGAAGTCCGAACTCACCAGAGCCGAAAAGCACGTTCATAACTTCATGTTGGATACTCAGCTGTACAAAAAGGTAATGATTGTATTTTTGTTAATATTGACAGAACTGCAGATTCAATGTAAAATACTGTTTAGTTTTTTTGGGGCCATGTTTGGTCAGTTTCTGTCTAATTTCTGTGACAAAGACCTTTGGAGAGAAACCTCATCAACACACATTACTCAGTGTAAATGTTACTGGAGACAGTTAATTAGACCCCTCTATCTGCATGATACTCTCCCATCCACAGGTAAAAAACACAGCAGCCAATGTGTTGAGGGAGACTTGGCTCATTTACAAAAATACCAAGCTGGTCAAGAAGATTGATCGTGCCAGAGTACGCCACCATCAGCGTAAATTCCTGCAAGCCATCCACCAGTAGGTGTACACATGTCATCACCATGAAGTCTAGAGTAAAGACAACATCAAATTGATAGTTACAACTGAAATGTATACATTGTTGTCACCCTTTGCTCTTATAAACTTATTTGATTGGTTTCTAATATGTTTACAAGGGGTAATGTGTTCTTAATTCATGTGTCATTTGTGGGGTTTGATACTGACTCCAAGTTAAACTGGTTTACACATGATCCATCCAAGGTTGTGACTTACTTTGTCAAAGATAAACCTTACTCTGCATTTATTTTGAATGGAACAAAACATGACTGATTCTTATTTTCTAATTCAGACTGCGAAGAGTCAAAATGGAGCAAAGGAAACTAACTGATCAGGCCAATACAGTTTGTGACCTTGCCAAGGTTTGTAAAAGCACTGTATGTTGTTGAGTTTGACACTATAGGGCTGTCTTCAGTGTTTTTGCCAGATGAAACCAAAAGTATGTAGCTTACCATAACTTAATCCAAGTAAACCATATTACGAAATGTCCACTGAAATAGGGTTTTCATGTTACCACTTACAAAGATGTGGTTGTCTGTTGTTTATCTACTATGCCAGGGCATTGATAGGTTACAAAACAGATTTTTGTTTCCTGGGGAAGTGAGATTTTGTATCTTTTCAACAAAAATTACAACATTTCTGCATTTATGATGTATGTATAGATGAAGAGATAAGTTCCCCGCTCCACTTACCCTGATGATGACTCGTACTGTAAAATGTGTGAATGAACTGTCCTCCCTGTTGCTTTGCAGACCCAGAACATGATGTACGATCTGGTGTTGGAGCTTCAACATCGAAGTGAGGAGCTGGACAGGAGGATTGTAGCTCTGGAAGAGAAACTGGATTCCATCCTTCTCAGTGTGCAGTCGCTTCCCGTTGTGCTTTCTCAAGCAATAACAAAGCTACAAAAGGATTTCCTGGACGACTTGGCCTGTCGCGTCCACTTCCTGTCATCCTCCCTGAGCTCCGAGTGCTGTTCAGTCCCTGCCAGGCAGCTTTGTCCAGGACCCACAACACCAGAGACACCATACAGCTCATAAGCCTCACTCTGTGGCTTTCCTTGTAGTCTGGAAACTTTGTTCATGCTGGGAAGGGTTTTCTCAACATGCACACTCTTCTTTTAAGTAGCGCTCTGCTACACATTTTTACAGTTACACAAATAAACCCCTGAGAGTAATAGCTCTTACTGAGCAGCCCAAATGACAAGGGAAGTGCTTTAGTGAGGGGATTCTCGGCTAAGGGAAGATCCTTTTTATTTCGTTTCCTCAGAGGTTCACAGTTACTGTAGTCCAGGACTGGGTTTTCAGCTACAAATAGACAAACATTAGTAGAGTCTCTTAGGAAGCAATAGGAAGATGATTTTTAAGGTATCTAGTCTAAGTGTCTAAGTGTGTTAGTTCCTAAGCAATTAAGAAATGAGGAATGCATTTTTTTCCCCTTATTCTCGAGCTATTTATTTTTGATGTCTACTAATCAACGCTTTCGCAATATTTCTTTCTGAAAGAAATCTAACATTAGGGAAATGGAGATTGTCCTTAAAATATGGACAGCACTTTTGAATATGTGCATTACATGATGTCACTATACATGAACAAATTAAGGTTATGATCATTATTATATAACTATTTATTATTATACAAATATCCTAAAAATCCCTGTTTCAGTTAGAATTTTTTTTCCCATGATGACCTAGCAACAGTTTATTTTAAAGTTGTAGGCATACAAATATTGAGAACCTGCAATAGAAGTAAAGTAAATCTATAATTATTAAATTGTTAACATTATATATAGCTCTGAAATCTTCCTTTGTGTTTCACTGGCCTTAGCCACAACATTAATAGAACCTTAGGACCTACTTTCTTTTGATTTTCATAGCAGCAAAATACAGTATCAGCATCCTGCCGAATACAAAAGCAATAAAGACTTTTTCCCAAGATCTCTGTTGTAGGATGTTTCATGTTTGCATTTGCAGGATAGACAGGACCTAAGGGCAGGACTCTGAATTGAATGGCACCACACAAACTATTGCAAATTGTATAACACAGAGATTAAAGTTTAAGGATGTCCATTAGTTTGTCAGGCAAACAAGCTGTCTTACTAGAAAGTGACTTTAGAGGGCCAGACTTAAAGGTAGGGTAGGTAATTCACTTCAGAAACACTTTTTGTTATATTCCATGGTCATGGAATGCTCTTAACATCCCGATAGCAATGAATACATGAAATGCTTTGACAATAAATACTGTATATCTGTGGAAGCCGTGGCGCTGTAAAAAGCACGACCAATCATTTTAGCCGGCCCGGCTAAAAATAACTGGATGGCCTACCTGCCTGTCAGTCTTCCATTTCGTGCACAAACTTATCTCGTGCCCTCATTGGTCATGTGTGCGTTCGTTTGTGTTGGAGGAGGGGCTCTGTAAGGAAGTGTGAAGGAAGGGGCAGATTTCTTTTACGGCTGCGTACTTTCACCCGAGCTGGTTTTTTCCATTCTTACCTACCCTACATTTAAGCTAGGAATGCTGTGGATCAAGTTTAGTATAAATCCACTAAATAAAGATAATCAGATATGGCAAATGACAGAGGCATCATATTGCACATTGTGTGTGTATCACGTGTGTAGCGTGAAGGAAACACACACACACACACACACACACACACACACACACACACACACACACATCCTCTCAAACAAACACCTGCCTCTTATTTCCAATGCACTAGTTAGTTTGAATTGAGTTGGCCTCATTCACTTTCAGCTCCCGCCAAACTGAAGGGAAGGTAATTGCACATCATTATTTAGACATGATTATTAGGTCAATATGGGGCTCCACATAAACGTTTAATATATTGAGACGATAAGGTCAAAGAACCAAACTAATTGTGAACATAAATAACGAAGCCGTAACATGTAAAAACACGATAAACAGCTTTTCAGTGGGGTTGTTTACCAGAACACCATCTGTCTGTCCCATGGTTACCCGTTTACGGTGCCCTTCATAATCTCGCGATACATCTCCGGAGGCAAGCTGCACCCACGAGAATGTCGTTTCGCGCGCTGAAGCTAAGCTCCAGTCACATTTCAGATTGAAAGGTCTGCTAGCCAATGAACTCTATTTGTTTAGAGAAAATTAGCCAATGGGGAAGCTGTATTATTAGAGCAGGCGGGATATCAAAGTCTTGAAGAATAACTCATTGATCCAACAAGGCAGAGTTGCTTGTGCAAACCTCATAGACAAGTTAGTTACGGAAAACGTGCGCGTTACTCCGTAAACCTCTATTTCTTGTTTTCACTTGGACGATCCATCAGGTAAAGCAGATTTCTTCTCGTGTTAAAATAACTTTTAAAATGGTACTCATTGAAATCTTCTCACAGTAACTTGGCTAGCTCACTATGGTTAGCTAACTTCACAAAGTCTTACCTCGTTTCTGTTTGGCTTACGTACCGAGCAAGCAAAATGTAAAATTGTAAATTAAATATTTTGTCACTGGGGGAGTTTTGTTTGCTGTTGAATGTACTCTCAATTCTCTGTGCTAACCTAACGTTGTTGAAAGGGTTCGAACAAAAAGTTGTAACGTGGTTTGCTGAAACATAAAGCATTGATAGGGGCATGATGAACTTGACTTGAGCTGTTGTTTATCTGTAGTATTACCACATAATGCCTAACACATGGTGAACTTTGGCAATTCACCGCTTCCTTAGAAGCAAAACACCCCACGCCAACCTCCAAACACTGTATTTATTTTTCAGTTTTTCCGTGTTGAAAAAACGACTCATATTTTGTCTACATTTTGTTTAAATGGAATGATCTCGGTAAATGAACGCATATCAGGAGAGAGGAAGTCGTTTTTGTATCAATGTTGTTGGTGATGTTTTGTTCACGCGTTTATTCAAGCCAGCAGAGCGACCAACATCTCAGCTGAGAACTCAAAGTAAAAACCAAGCAGCCATCGAGCTAAGTGTTTACCGCCGAGAAAGAACAACACACGGCTTATGCAAGTAGAGGAGTGTTTAAGTACAGTTATAATCGATTCCATGGTGCACATAAGGTAGTATTTCGGTGTGTTTTATTGTGAGAGACTGAAGGCACATTGTTTGCTAGCGCTCCCTCCCGTCCGGATGTGCTGCTCAGTTTTAAAAGAACTGGGAGTGGCCTCATCTCAGTTTCCCGCACTGTATTTAAATCAGCCTGTTCCCTCCCTTTCTGATTCTCTGTTCAAGTGACAGGCCAGTGCTGACAGAAACACAATACACGGACCAACACTGATATGATCATATTCCCTCTGCTGATCACCATTTAAGTGTCCTTTTTAACTGAATTCATTTCATTTACATCCTTTTAATGATTTAATTGGCAGGAACTCTATGATGGATAGGTAGGTAGGTAGGTAGGTACTTTATTGATCCCAATTTGGGAAGTTTTTGCGTTGCAGCAGCATAAAAAACACAAGGCAATGTACACAAGAGAAACGAAGACACAGAAATAAACAGTCCAATATATTTCATAAATATACATATGAATAAAATAGCATTAAATAGATAAAAAATATATAATGCAGGATATTATTGTGCAAGAATGGATTATCCAATATTAAATAGAATATTAATGTAAAATATCCAGTGTGATTTTAAGTCCAGTTGTTAAGAGAAGCGATGGAGCAGACAGTTCTCTTCCGGCCAGAGGTGATTTGTTATAGAGAATAATGTCCATGCAATGATTATGAAAAGCAACAATCCACAATTAAATGTTTTTTTTTTTGTGTATTGAAAACTTACAAGCTGATATGTGGCCACCTCAGTATTAACATTGCCTTTGGGAGGCGTGTGGCGCAGTGGATAGAGCGATGGTGTTCAGAGCACAGGTTCAAACCCCACTGCTGTCAGCATGTCGTTGTGTCCCTGAGACACTTCACCCCAAGTTGCTCCTGTGGGGATTGCCCACAGTATTGAGTATGTAAGTCGCTTTGGATAAAAGCGTCTAACAAGTGACATGTCATGTGTAATGCCTTTGTAGTTTGAAGAGTCACAATCAGTGGATCTGTATTGTTCTCTGTAAGGAAGTGTCTTTGATATGGCGCACAAGATATCAGAAACACCTGGCTCAAGATGGTGATATCTGCATTCTGAAATGAATTGAATTAGTTTAAAATCATAAAGAAGCCTAAGAATGGTCATTGTGGGTACTACTACGATTTGGACATGCAATTGAAAGAGAAAGTTATTAATTCTCAAACTATTTAAACTGCTTTGTTGCTTCTAACCAAATATTAGGATGGGGGCAAGGTCATAGTGATGTGCCAGTCAATGCTTTTTATCAGTCTTACTCTATTATTATTTTTAAATCATGTATTACTTACTAAAATGTTTTTTTTAATGTGGCTGCAGTTGGATTTAAATGCAAATACCAACCAATTAATAGCATACAAATCGTGTTGCTGTTGATGATGTGTTTGACAAAACTGGCTTCTATCAGATCACTGACATCTGCTGTTGTTGATGAAATCATCCATTTAACAAGAGTGAATACTCACAGAATCTACAACAACAATTATTATTCTTTTCACTGTAATTGTACATGTTTTGATTGTTAACACAGTGCAGCTGCAATGTGGATTCAAGTGCGCACAATGGATGGGAGTGAAACCCACCGGGTGGATTCCCTGTCAAAACTCACCAAGGTGGATGAGCTACGTCTCAAAATCTCTGAGCTCTTCAAGGTGGAGCCAGACGTGCAGAGACTTTTCTACCGCGGCAAGCAGGTGAAGCAGCTTAGTAAACATTTTGCTCAGACAAGTCTCTGGTTTTGTTGGATTGTGTCCCAGTAATTTAAAGTCTGAAGCTTCTTAAACGTATTGGTGTTTAAAGAAGACTGTCCTTTAAACATAGTGGCAAATGTTAAATGTGTAATACAAAATATGCATTAATGTGAACGTGATAAATGAAGGTCTAAAGTTAGTTTTTTGGATATACAAACTTTAACCTTGTTGTTTTTTTTAACATCAGATGGAGGACGGCCATACCATATTCGACTACAATGTGGGCCTCAACGATATAGTGCAGCTGCTTGTGAGGCAGAAGGTTGATGTGGTGAAAGGCAAAGACAAAGAAGCAGAGCTCTCAGACTCTGACTCTGGTTGTGGATCAACCCGGAGTGAATCCGACAAGAACTCAACTCACGGGGAGGCCGAGGCTCAGACCGCCGGCACCTCCGCCACAACAAACACCACAGAGCTCGTTGATCCAGGGTTCGGATCTTACAAGGTATGTCTTAAAGCTGTTGGCTTGGATTAAAAAGTGTTTGCATGTTATCTGTACTTTCAGGAAAGGGGAACATCGAATTGATCTTTTAGGGATAGGTAGTGAACAGCTGTGGCGTAAGGCCTGCATTTAGCTACAGTAATGTTGGAAGCATGCTAGTCACTCATTCAAGTTGTTTGTTGAACAATTAGATCAGCTTTCATCGTGGGGAGAAGAAAAGATTCAAGCAAAGATGCCCGAATGATTTTAATAAAATAAATATGTGATTGGGAAATTGACATTAATGCTCTATACTTGGAGATCCATGTAGTTGCTAAAGTCTGACCAACACAGTTAAAGTTGGCTGTTAGCCGCACAGTTCTTCTTGGATAAAGGATGAAGCTAACGGATAGCAAGGTTGCATTGACCATAATAATGATGCCTTTAAGCTCCTTTCAGTACAGATGAGTATTAGGCAAATGTAAATTATAACATTATTTAATGTTCTACAATCTACATGGTATCTTGTAAAATGTAGTGCCGAACCCGAATACATTAACTTATTATGCAGTATATGTTTTAACAGAATTATAAAACGGATATCAGAAGGAGTCATGACCCCTTCATCTTCCTAACATTACTCGAAGCAGCTTTTAATGCAAACATTTATTTAATATATTTTCTTGTTGCTACAAACAACTATCAATGGTAATAACAGGTAAAAGAAAGGGGTTGTTGTGTCTGGCAATTCCTGTAACTCTCTGTAAACGATGACCCGACGTTCACACCTACTTCTTACAGTTAGAGGCCAGCTGTGTGGAGTTGAGATAACACGGGGGTTTAACATCTTTCTAGTTCTTTTATCATACTTCTTCATAATCTTTACACAAATGTTTCAGACAGTTTTCACATGGCATAACTGGCCTTCCAGAAGACACTTTCTAAATGTAGGAATAAAAGTGCATGTTTTTCTAGCATAACACCTCTGTGTGAATACAGTTGCTGTTGGTGACCACTTGACATGAATATACAAATGTAGGTGATTTGAATCAAGTGAATGAAGAAGCTGGGCTGTAATTGAGCCGGTCTACATTTCGTCCAAAGGATTCTTATAGACATTGTGAAAATGTTTCATGTTTAGAAATTCTTTGTATGTAAGGAAACGAAAGTTCACATGAGCACTTTTGAAAACAAACGGACTAATCACATTAAAAAAAAAATATTTACAGAACACTTAATAATGTGTTGAGGACAAATGCTACAGCCTTTAAAATGTATTTCAAGATTGTTCTAACTTTTTTTTTTCTTTGCGTCATTCAGATCAATGAGCTAGTGGATGCAAGGGACTTAAACATGGGGGCGTGGTTTGAAGCACAGATCTTGAATGTTACCAAGTCAACAAAGACGCCTAAAGCAGAATCTGCTGATGCAAAGCCAGCAGAGGAGGAGATATTGTACCAAGTTAAATACGAAGAGTAAGAATCCCTTTTCTATTTGTGTCCATCAATCAACATGTAAAGCTATGTTGTGAATCTATGTTTGAAAATATCAGCCAACAATGGTTGCAATGGTTTTTTTATCTTCCAAACCACTGAGTATATTTTGTATTTACTCCACTTTGATGTGATGGCCAGAATCAAGTAAACTGGTTGCCCCAAAATCCAAGATCAAGCCAATCGAGTGGTTTTTATTTGTAACTTTACTTGTAAAAGTGTACCTTGTCATTAGAGGTTATTTAATAGAAACGAATACGAAAGTAAATGGTCATGAGAATGAACTCAGGACATCACTTAAACACACGATTGTGTCGGTTGGTGAGTTTGGAAGTATGTTGGTGTTTGAGGAACATTCTTCTTAAGTGTACCTGCAGTTGAGCGAAATATACTTTTACACATGTGGTTACACTTCCATGCAGCAGTGTGTAGGAAGCACCTGTAGTGGTGTGTGGCTTGCCACCAAACTGCCAACTGACCTGGTATCACCTTTACCATCGCAGCTACCCAGAGAACGGGCTGGTTCAGTTGCTGGCCAAGGATGTTCGCCCTCGGGCCCGCACGGTGTACCAGTGGCACCAGTTGGAGCCAAAGATGGTTGTTATGGTCAACTTCAACCCAGACGACCCCAAGGAGCGTGGCTATTGGTACGACGCTGAGATCCAGAAGAAGAGGGAGACCCGCACAGTGAAAGAAATCTACGCCAAGATTCTCCTTGGGTAAGTGCTGTGTTGCATTTAAAAGTGCATTTTATATTGGCCCTCAGATTAGGGCAACAAGTCAAATATCAGAGTAAATATCGGTTCAACCTGCTGCAGCGGCAGGTGATCATCTTGTGTTTGCGTTTTATCTGTATATCAAAGTTTGTTGGTTTTTGGATGCGCTGTAGCCGGTGATGACAGGTTAACTTCCTTCCGTGGTATGAAAGTAGCCTGCATAATATATTGCCATGTGCTGGTAACATTTTAAGTACTTTGGGTTTAATATAACTCCCATTTACACTTAACGGAGCAAAAATAAACATTTGACTCTTTTGATGATGATACAAATAGTAGCCTTTTATTTTTTTATTTATAACATACTGCTGCGATTCTCTCTGTATTTTTCAAAAATGCCTGTTAACTTTCATGCATTTGGTGTTTTAGCTTTTCGAGTGATCATATATATATATCTCATTATAAGCATGAAAAAGTATCAGTACTACGAAGGCCATCTTGAGATCTATTTCTCTGTTTGCAGTGATGCTGGTGACTCTCTTAATGATTGTCAGATCATGTTCCTGACTGAAATCTACAAAATCGAGGAGGTTGGTTCTCTGGATGAAACACCCGCTGGACCCGAGAGTCCGCTGAAAAGTATGTTTAATTGTGTTAACTGGTATTTATTACACCCCCTAATGAAAATGCTGTAGAAAGAAACGGATTAGATGATATAATGAAATGTGTTTATTCTCCAGGATCAAATGGACCCGAGTGCAAGCACTGCAAAGATAATCCCAAGAAAAACTGCCAGTGGTGTAACTGCCACGTCTGCGGCATCAAGCAGGATCCCGACAAACAGCTGCTGTGTGATGAGTGCGACATGGCCTATCACATCTACTGCCTGAACCCCCCGCTCACCTCCATCCCTGACGACGAGGACTGGTCAGTGGCATCATGCTAAACTCAAATTCTGATGTATATATTCAAATATCCTGACATTTAAAGTTTAGCAATTGGCACTCATTTGTTGATTAGTGAAGATATAAGTACAATGTTGTCTTGTGGCAATGGTTACCTGTCATTGTCAAATACATGTCATTAACCTATACTGCTCCTTCATGTATTGAACTTTTAGGATCTCAAAGTGCTCGAACACACAGTTTGTAGCTGTTTTGTGGCATCGATTCATGCTTCTGGCCATTAATTGTTATTATCACACTGTGCTTTAGCTGACCTGTACTCTGTATACTGTCTCAGGTATTGCCCAGGATGCCATAATGACGCCAGTGAGGTTGTGTTGGCTGGAGAGAAGCTGAAGGAGAGCAAAAAGAAGTCTAAGATGGCTTCTGCCAGTTCCACCAGCCAGAGGGACTGGGGCAAGGTGAGGTTCTTTTTTTTCTCCCTTTTTATGTTTCTTAAAATTATGATTTTGAATAAGTCACTTATAGTTGTGGGGCCCAGGGGAACCCGGTTTAATGATGTAATAGTTTAAGAATGAAAGAAGAGCACATTAAAAAAAAAACAAAAAAAAAAAAAAACCTTGATGTGTGGAGGAGACGGCTCATTATTTATCAGGTTGCCGAAGCAATTGTTTTTTATTAAAGTCATTGTATGCTATACCATTGATCTACTGTCAACAATATCAGTATCGGTGCATCTCCTAAAATGTATAGTTCAGTTTACTGCATTGATGTTAAATACACAAATACTTTAATGGCAACCATTTACTCCTCCCCCTCCAGGGAATGGCCTGTGTTGGTCGAACCACGCAGTGCACCATCGTCCCATCAAACCACTACGGCCCAATCCCCAATGTTCCTGTCGGCTCCCTGTGGAAGTTCAGAGTGCAGGTCAGTCCACGCAGCGGGAATCCTAGAGGATTATCAATACCACGGTTTGAGTGCTCGTATGTTTAGTGGCCCCCAATGATGTTTAAACTCTGTTCTAGGTCAGTGAATCTGGCGTCCACAGGCCTCATGTAGCTGGGATCCACGGCAGGAGCAACGACGGGGCCTTCTCTCTGGTCCTGGCAGGAGGATATGAGGATGACGTGGTAGGTTTTGTTAATTTCCTTTTCTTTTTTTTAAATGTTCAAATGTGACTTTGTTATGATCTGAAATGTGTTTCTATGAATCTTAAAGTTGATGCCAGACTTTTTAGATGTTTTAATGTCTGTAATATTTACGTTTCTTAAAGGATGATGGTAACGAGTTCACATACACTGGCTCTGGTGGGCGAGATCTTTCCGGAAACAAGAGAACCGCTGAGCAATCATGTGATCAGACACTTACCCACATGAACCGGTATGACATGACTCATTATAGTTAACAGGATTTCTGCATTTTCAGTTATTGCATAGAGTTCATTTCTCATATCTAAATTGTTCACGCTGTTTCTCAACAGGGCGCTGGCTCTCAACTGCAACGTCCCTGTCAACGACAAAAATGGAGCCGATGCAAAGAACTGGAAGGCGGGAAAACCAGTTAGAGTCGTGCGCAGCTGCAAGGGTCGCAAACACAGTAAATACTCCCCTGAGGAAGGAAACAGATATGATGGGATATATAAGGTATGAGGATCCACTGGACCGAATCTGCATGTGTTTTTAGTTTTAGAATTGATAGAAATTTAATTTAATTTTAAAACTGCAACTATTTAACTGCATGGATCTAAATAAATAAGGAGCATGCATTGGTTTCCGAACAATTGAATTACTCGTAATCCAACAACTACCTCTACTTTGATTATTTGAAGTTCGGTAAATAATCTCGTGACTTTGGGCATCTATTGGTAGTCTTACTCTGTCATTGAATTCCTTCAGATTGCAAAGTACTGGCCAGCCAAAGGGAAGTCTGGCTTCTTGGTGTGGCGATATCTGCTGAAGCGTGACGATGAGGAGCCAGCACCGTGGACGAGAGATGGCAAGGACCGCGTCAAGAAGCTCGGGCTCACCATACAGGTAGAGAGGATCCTTCAAGCTGCATTAGAGCAAGAGGGTTTCATGTTTTGGGTCCATGAACTGTGTCCTCTATGTAGAATGCAACTCTTTTTAATTGATTTAAGGAATGGCCTTCTTTGAAAAGCACATCTTGAACATGTCAGTATGGATGCTAATGTTAGCTGTGCTTTGAGCTGATGGTTAACGGTAGCATAACTTCAATTAAATGGACTTTGTTTTGTTTTTTCCAGTATCCTGCTGGCTATCAAGAGAAAGAGAAGGAGAAAGAGAACAAAATTGTTGCGGATGAGTCTTCGGAAACACCCAGCAAGTCAAAGAGGAAGAGGAAATCCCAGAGCAGCGGTATGTTTTTTTGCTCTTACCTAATATTCAACACTAGTTCAAATGAAACTGTTGCAGATCAGCCCAAAAGCTATGCATTGGTTTGTTTTGGTGTACAATATAAATTGTAGTATTGCCAATGTTATCATAATTGAGCAGGTGAGACATTTTATTGGTTTTGATTTCTGTGTAAAATCTATAAAGTATAACCGTCCACCCTTTTACTCTAGTAAATTTAAAATGTGTTTGTTTCTTACAGAATCCCCCAAGTCTTCACCAACCAAAACTCCTAAGAAAATAAAGCTAGAAATGTACAAGCTTACTAGGGAACAGAAAACCTTCATCAAGAATGACAAGCAAAACAAGAAACTGTGGGATGAAGCCATGGAGTCACTGTCACTCGGACCGGTGAGCATTACTGTGTATTTGGTTACCAGCTTATGTTTGGAGGAATTTGAATGTGACATTTCAATTTGAAAGGACAAGTATGTCCAAGACGTTAGACCTTGGACAAGAAAGAGATGTCCTAGTGATGACTTTAATTGGTAAAATCGCAACAGTGGTCTTGCATACAATACTCGATAAAATTTCTTGCAATGGCGTTTTTTTGGGGAACAGAAATGGGTAGTTTGTAATACGCTTTCAAATGTGTCATTCCCACAGAAATTCCTGAACAAAGTCGAAGAAGTTTTCCTCTGCATTTGCTGCCAAGAGGTTGTCTTTCAGCCAATCACCACAGAGTGCCAACACAATGTCTGCAGGGTGAGGAACGATCGTTGATGATTAACAAGAGTTTTTGACTCACTTAATTGTATGCAGCAACAGAATCATAGCTCTAACACTGTTTGTTGTTTTGTTTTTTTTGGTTGATATACAACCTAAAATATGTCTTTATTTTATTATGTTGCTGTAGTGGTTGGGTTATAAACATTTTCCTAAACAGCTTTTGATCTTCACGTGACATCCTAACCAACCTTACACCCACCTGGTTACAATGCAGAAACCATTTTTAGAAATGAAATGTCAAAGTTTGAGTGCCTGAAATTTAAATGAAATGTCTGATTCTTTCCGCCTCAGGAATGCCTTCAGCGATCCTTCAAAGCAGACGTGCACACCTGCCCGGCCTGCAGGCACGACCTGGGCAAGAACTACTCCATGAACATCAACAAACCCCTGCAGGATATCCTTATTCAGTTTTTCCCAGGCTACAGCAGCGGGCGATGATCATTGGTTCTGCCTACTCTGCCTGGGAGGAAACGCCATGTAAACTGTAAGGGCATTTTTCAGTAAAGGCAATAAAGAATCAATCTCTCTTAATATATTTTTAATGATTTATAAAACTGCAAGTTTTGTGGACTTCAATGCTATCGTTTTTTACCTTGGATCTGCCATGTAGTTAAAGAAAAAATGAAAATGTCTTTTCGTAATCGCGCCATTACTCCGTTAACGGCTTACACCGTGATTTTACTCCCAGCGTTTGATATTGTTCCATTAACTAATGCTAATGTTATCTATTCTGGCAAATGTTTGTTACCTTTCTAAATCCCTCCATGTTTAGCACTGCTTATTTGGACATTTTCTAAACACTGCTCTTATAAGAATATGCGTCTCATCTGGTCTGCTGTTAATTTTGCTGTTGTTGGTCAACATGTTAATGCAATTTAAGAACAAATTCTGATCTTTTAGTCAATTATTTTTACTGTTTAACTTTGAAATCTGGCCTGACAGTGTTGTGCATCTCCTGGAGCCGTGTGTCTGCGCTACTTCGTAGATCTCTAGCTAAGGTTGCAATTGACAACCTTGGCAAACATCAACAAACGAGATTGCGCTAACATGATATGTGCACAAAGCGGCTCCAGAAAATGTAGATAAGGTCGGACTTTCATGCACAAACTAAACCAGTTCTAAGTTTAGTTTTTCTGCTCTTCAGCAGACTGAGAGGAAGTGTCTTGTCGGGGAACGTTGTCATCCAATGTGGTTTGATTTTCTACCTTGAATATTGGTTTCTTTAAAAATATTTTCATATAATCCTTTTATATTTGTTAGAGATTTGGTTTAAAAGTATCCATAAATTTGATTCAACCTTGACAGCTAAAAATGTTGGATCCTTAAGGCCATTATATAACGTGGTGAAGATATGAATTTTCTCCCGTTTCAAAAAGGTTCACTTTGATGAACTCCAAAGAAAAACAAAAAGTGCTTATCCAAGAGTGTTATGTAGGACACATCTATCTAGTTATTTAGACATTGTCCCCTACACAACCCAATTAAGTCTAGAAACGTTATTTGTATTTTCTAAAACATTCAATTTGTACCTTTTCATCTTTTTGTAATCTATGACTGCCATCTGTAGGGGGGCTGTTCAGTCAGATTGTTGTGCCTCCTGTGGTCACTCGTATTACCTGACCTCATTTAGAAAACAGGAAATGCTTGCATTAATAAACTTAAAGGAAATTCCCCTCACTGCTCCTGAAATTTGATATTGAATCGACTAGATTATCTGAATTTATTATTGATGACTACTTTTGCCGTTGCCTTTGTCATTTATCAATATTTGGTGTTGAATTTCAACAGTAGTGTGAGACTATGTCCCTCCACATGCCAGCACTTTGAGTTTTGATGGAGAGACAAAGGTTTGCATAGACTGGGAAATGTATATTTTCGGAAATTGTATAATTTTTTTAGTCCATTTTAGTTTTGATATGTAGTTTTTAGAATTGCTTGCACAAGTTTGGTGCAAAAATTGTCAATACATTTTCAGTGTTATTCAATAAAAAAGTGAAAATGAAATTTGTTTGTTTTTTAACGGGACTGTATTTAGGAACATTTACCAAAAAAAAAACATTTCAAATTGTAATCTTGACGGTTTCAGCTGTGGGCTGGAATTAACTTTTGTTTTGATGAAAAATGAAAAGATAAATACAGAATACATTTTAAGTGTGGAACTGATTTCAAACTTCACATTTTCAATGTTTAAAGGCCCTCAAGACTCAGAAAATAAGTCAATTTACTCAAGTTTATCTTAATCTACGTATGTTTTTATAAGTCCAATTGTTGCCTTTTTTCTTTACTAAAGAAATCAATGCTGAGTATACCAGTATTTCATTGGACAAATTGCAGGAAATATGATGGTATACATATAATATATTATACATTCTGCAACAAACTACATTTCCTCTTCTGGAATAAATAAAGTATGCCTTAATTTCAAAGGAAATAAATGAATTCTTCAGGGTTGGTTAAGTATTTGAAATATCAAAAATATTGACTTATTCCTATTTATATATAAAATATGTATCAGAATTCCCTCTACAAATACATTATCTGTGATTTTTTAGGATCTTTTGTGTATTTTAATGCTACCAAAATGTATAATACTTAGCTAAAAATGTGTATCAGATTGCTTATGCCTTCTACAGAAAAATTGGGAATATATAAACAAAGTCATTTATATAATTTTTTTATTAGTGTAGGTTTTTTTCTGAATATTTAAGTGTTTTATTGTAACCAAAAGAGAAAAACAATCTATAAACGTTAAAAGTGTTTCCCTATACAATTACAAATAATGATATATATTGTTTAAAAAATAATATTTTCTTATGAATTGTAATGCTACAAAAGATCATTGGATTAATCGGGTTTGAGATAGTCGCTCAGACAATTACATTGGAAGGAAATGGATAAGATACCGAGCATAAGAGCACGTTCAGGGTTTTGGAACAAGCTGTAACTCTTAGACAAATGTAAAACGTGTTTAATAACACTGAAAGTATATTTATTTTACTCATATAGTCAACACAGCAGTCCCGGCATTGTGGACGTGCGTGACGTGCATTCACTATCTATGGTAAGCAAAGTAGTACTGAGCGTCTTTTGCCATTGGTTGAAGTGTGTGTCTATAACCAAATAAACCAACCATATCGTTGGGATGATGAGCAAGAATACTTTTATCCGTGTGATTTGACCAATCACAAACCCTGTTTTTTGAGGTGGGCGTGACTCTAAATAGCCCCTCAGTTAGCTAATGCTAGAGCAAAATCCATACAGGGTTTTTTTTACAAAACGAAACCAAATCGATTAAAAGAACAAGGAGAGGACTATACGTTTACTGCAGGAGGTAATATTTCTCAAACGGAATTCATGTTATGCAAACGCAATCACCGTATTCTCGTGTAATTGTGTTGTGTATGGCTGTCGTCGCAGTGTTTTTGTTTTTTCTAAATGCATATATGGAAGTAGCTGCCTAGCAAGGAGCTAACCAGCGTTAGCTTAACATACATGAAGTTAAACCCTAATAACCGGTGACGTGTGGTTAAATGCAACACATTTTACTCATTATGAAGCGCTTTGGCTATGGTTGTTGTTCTTGTCTTCTTGGATAAAATGCTAAGAGCTTATTTTAGTTGTGTATAGCCATCTTAGCAGGAGCAGCCTGTAATGACTCCTTCTTTAAATCGAGCAGCGTCTTTTTACTCTCACCAAGTCAGAGTCTTGAACCACCTATCAAGGGGGATACATGCTGTTCAGAACTATTAGCATTACGGTTTTTAGTAAGGAGGGCAGTGTTATGTAATATTGAGACAAGTTGTAGGCCAAGATAGATTTAAAGGGGCTGTGTAGGCCCCTTTTTGTTGTGGTTAGACAGCTGGGGGGCATGACATGACCCACTGAAGAGATCAGTCCTGGTTCAAGGAGGTCATTGCTTTTTGACTACATTACTACATTTTGGATGAGTGACTTATCGGTTTATGACAAGCGGCTGATTCGGAAGAGATGCCTTTCTCATACACTGAGCAGGAAGTATTACTGTTTGAGTGGGATTTGTTTACTTGTATTAAATCCAGCTAAATATAACTTCCTCTCGCTTGAAACCTGACTGTGTCGTTTTTAAGAGCTGTGTGCCCTTCTTGTCAGTGTTTGCATGCTAGATGCAAATGAATAGTTAAATTGTCCCCAATTGGCTTGCTTTGTATGAGGAACTAACTCATGTAGGCTATATGTGGTCATGCATGAGAAGTGCATGTTTAGGGTTGAAGTTATGTGTTTTAGTCAGAAACAATATTTGGCACTATCCAAGCCAAGTGTTGCAGAGCACAGGTGAAATGGGTTAATAGTTTCTGAAGGGCCAATCTTTAGGCCAAACATCCCCCTCTCCTTTAAAAATATGTTTTAAGTAAGTAGTAAGGGACTTTTATTATTCCTGAAATTAATCACATTCCAAAGTACTAGGGTTGTAAGTTAACAGTAAACAAGATTCACATTACATTATGCACCTTGGTTTGAATGTTTCCGATACAAAACATATGTCACAAAATGCAGAATATATATATATATATATATATATATATATATATATATATATACACATGTTTCAAAATGTATTCAAAAATATAAATAAACACAAAACAGTGACCTGTTTGTCATGAGTGTTATTGTTAGGGGACTCAAGTAGTGGCATATTGTTGATATTACAAATGACAGTAATTCTGCATCACAAGCAGGACTCGACATTATAAATGGCCCGCTGGCCCGGAAGCACTATTTAGACACCTCGGGCCAGCATAACGTACTTTCCACTTGCCCGCTCGGGCCACTAAAAATATTGGTTTAAAAAAAAAAATGGTCCTGTGGTATTGGTATTTTGAC